ATTTCGTTCAATATTCCTAACTGAAAATAATGAAATTAAAATATTTATTTAATTTGGTTAAATAGCTTGACCGAATTAAGGTATCAAATTTCTTCCTTATAATTTCGATGAATATGACTGATCGAAATAAATTGTGCAACCATCTTTTAGCTGCTAATGTTCAAATTGCTTTATTTTTTTGCTTTCTACCTTCTCTGTTTTCTGCTTTCTCTATTTTTTGCCTTCTCTATTATAAATTTTTTGTCATAAAATTTATAGAATGTAATAAAAATTCTACTAAACTATTTCTAAATATATTAAAACATCTAAATTGAAAACAAATGTACCTAAAAACACATAAATATAAAACTTAACCTAAATTCATAATTAAAGTATTATGTCTTACAATAATAATTAAAGCATTATGTCATTATATAGTTAGTTCTAGATGTAGAAATTGTCATACATGTCCATGCATAATACCAAAAGATGTTTTTCCTACAATTCAATCGACTTATAACTAAGCCAATTATGATCCCCCACTTGTTCGAGCCCCTCCTCCTTTTTGCATCATAAAAAACATCTACTCCATCCTATTCACCTTTTCTTGTAATGTTTATTGATTTTCTTGTAATTCTGTCACAGTTTGTTGTAATTGTACTACACATTAAGATGATTGAACGAAACTAGAAGGTATGGTCTACTTTAACATATAATCCCAATTAATTACAATCATATTATAAAGTGCCTTTGCATTCATAAAATGAGACACCCATTGGAGAATTGTATCATCCTCATCACATCCATCATAAAACAGTTTCTTAGTAGCTTGCAAAAGATCAAAAAATTCCTTTGCATCTCCCACTGCCTCTTCAATTATTGAATCCTCACTAGCTTATTCATTCATATTAAACTCTATGCCATGTGAACTCATTACATCCATAACCATCTCTCTAATTAAATCATGATCTAGTTCTTCCATCACAAATAGAGCTATACTTGAGGATTTCCCCCACTGATGATGATGTTGCTTTTGCACTTATTGCTCTCCATGTGCAAGCCAAACTAGATACCCATTCATAAAACCTTTGTCTATCAAATGGCATTGCATAGTGACATGACAATGCCATTCTTTTTGGCACAGACACCTAATGTGAATTCTACTACAAAATTCTAGATTGGATTGGGAAAATACATAATCCAAAAAAAACTCCACATTAATTTTGAATTTATCAACAAAACAACCATCACCATCTAAACAATTATACATCTAACATCGATCCTCCAAAATGTGAAATATTTCCTTAAATTTTTATTAAAAAATTTCATACTCCCACACAAATAATAATACATTAAATTTGATAATTTGCAAAACATATTTTTTAAACTAAAACTAATAATGAATATAATCAATGTAATCATAATTTACCAATCAATTAATTAATATAATTAACATTAACCAATCAATTAATTCATATAATCATAACTTACCAATCAATCAATTAATCAACATAATTATAATTTACAAATCAATTAATTAATATAATCATAATTTACCAATCAATTAATTAATATAATCATAA